CAGCTGGGCAGCTTGTTCCAGTCCCAATCCCTCCCTTCTCCACACTCCTTCCCTACCCCCTCTGCCCACCATAACAGATTTACCACTGGAGGCTACCATGTCCAACACAGTGAGGACTGCTGCCTGTTTACTCTATGGCTGAATCTTTGAAGCGGTGCCGAATCTTTTCCGAATCAATTTGGAGCCTTCCGATTTGATTCAAACCTTTTAAATTGGTCTCCTGATTTGATTCGGATTCAGAGATTCAGCTGCTGAAACTGGAATGAATCTTCTCCAAATCAAATCAGCTACCAAAGCCCTAGCAATTACCTTGTCAACTGCACAACAAATATAACCCGTAGGGGGGGTCTGAGATACAGAAACCCAGCTCTGCAAGTAGATTGAGCCTAGTGCCAAACAGGTGTTGGATTTATAATGCTTTTGCCCTTCTGCTCCACTCAGAGTGGTTCACATGACAACAAAGACTGGGCATGTCTGCCAATGGACCATCTAATCCCCTTACACTGGTAGTGGGGAGTCTGTGTAACTGAAGGCAGAGAGTTGTTTTGTTTTGTTTTTTTACAAAGTTCCTCACTTATAGACAAGGCTGTAAAACATACAGAATTTCCCAACAAGACAAGAGTGAAGTTGGAAACTACACTGGAAAATACAATATGAAATAATCCTTCATTGATGGGGAAGGGAGTATTCCTTCTTTAAGTAACTGAGACAAATGTATATAAGTTTTAAAACTTCGCAGTTATCCAAATTAATGATTTGATTGTTTAAGTCTACTGCCTCTTTATCTACACCAATTTAATTCATTGCAAACGTGCATTCAATAGGTCAAATTTGAGGGATGAGAAAGCTAAATCTGTAACACTAAAATGCTGTTAACAGCCAACTCTTTCAAAAGAAGCAATTTATCAAAATGTTGGGTGCTCTGGAATTTTCAGAATGGGCCATTTCTCCGCTGAAACAATACCTTGCATTAGTGACATCTAAGAATATAATATTTTTATTGATAAACCATTTCTTCACAATAATACAAAGTAGATTTTGGCTCAGAAGTATAAAAACTGTAAATTGCTTAAATTGCAAAGCCCTACCACTTTTTCAAGAATGGATGACAGGCACAGAATTTATTTTCAAGTTAAGCAACAATCCAAACATTACCTGGAGAAATGCAGGTGGACGATTCCGGGCCATCTCACTGTCAGTATCCAAAAATTTAATGATGCGTAGATATCCAGGGTATGAGGGAGCGCTAACCTGCCCATCAGGAGTCACAAAGAAAATCTGTACTCCTTGGGGAATCAAAATCAACTCATCTGCATCTACCCCTAAACTTTCAAGTGAAGGAGGCTGAGTACACTTTTTATAGTATTCTTCTCCTACGGAGGAAAACTCTCCAGAATCTGTACCATAAGATACAGTGTAGTGTCCATCAGTAGCTTGAGGAGTATATGCAGGAGGTGCTTCACTTGGCAAAGGGTAAGTGTTTGGAGATGAAGGACTCACAGCTGGAAGTTGCCCCTGGCCTGCAGTTGTAGTGTTTTCAGCTGCTGCAGGGAGCTGAGATGGTGGAATAGGAAAGGCAGGTGCAGGGGGCCTTTCTGGCTTTTCTTTAGCAGGAATAACTGGGTATAATTTAGGCACCTCTGCAGAGGCACTTACTGCACTGGGATTAATTTGCACAGCAGGAATATTCTGGTCTAGAAGATTCAATCGAGTGTGAACGTTTTGTAAAGTCTCCTGCATCTTTTGCTGCATTTTTCTGGCAGACTGCCACTCTGATCCTGTACATTCAGGACCTTGTGATGGAATGCTAACTCCTCTGAGCAAGTGGTCAAGACCTTGTTTGTAATAGTTTCTTGCCTCTTCCTTTTGACCCAGTTCATCTGTATTCAGTCCTTTATTGACAAAAGAAAAGGCTTTCTTGTACGCTTCTTTAATAGCTTTAATATTTTCATCTTCTTGCACAGCTGGATCCTGTGCTTGTTCCATTACTGTAAATTGAAATACAGTGTTAGCATGACTGTAATTATAAGCATAGCTTCCTGCTTCTTATAGTCATACAGAAGGAACTGCTTGCAGTCAATTAAAAGACACTTTAAGATTAATAGTTTTTGCAAAGCAATCCAAAGCAATGTACATTTTACAGTGTATATCACATCATCTTCTAGTGCTGGATATGTAGTTGCACGGTACAAAGTCTAATATTACTGTTACACATTGCTAGTTAACTTTTAGATTTAGAAAAGGTGATTCCAACTTATTAAGGACTCTGCTCTGTACCAATCAGATTTTACACTACAGCAGACCACAGTGCATTCATTTTTAAAGACAAAAAAGCTGGTGAAATAGCTGAAGTTCCAGAATACTTTAAAATGACAGAAATGTATTTCCAGTACACCTTTTAGAAGGGGTTTCTCCTCACTAATATATTATGTAATCTGACCAAAAAGTATGTGCAAATCTTTTATTAATCTAGAATGCTACTGTACATCTAATACTACATGTTACTGTACATACAGTAATATATTAATTTACATTACTCAGAACTTCTTGAGAAAGAAAGTTAGAGCCAGTTAAGGAACTTGAACCTGAACATATGTTGCGTCACCTGCAGCCATATTTGAAAAACTAGCCAACTGCCTGCCAGGAATGACGGGGTGGGGGGCAGGGGGTAGCATGCGGGGATGGAGCCCCGTGCTCCACTCCATCCGAGCCCACTCCCCCTTTACCTCCTGCAGCACCAGGGAGAGGGAAGGATCGGGCCTGAGGGTGGGGAGAAGCTGGGCTGCCGTGGTGGGGGAGGGGGAGGGGAGAGGCTCGCCCCCCCCCCCCCCCCCCCCCCCCCCCCCC